TTTGCAGAACCAAGGATTGAACTCAGGCCCTTGAGCTTGTCAGGGAAGTGCTTATTCCACTGAGCCATCTCCCCAGCCCCCTATATCTGGATTTTAAAGACAATTTTTTTTGTTCTTAATGTATCATTTCATAAAGTGTTATCAGATTATCCTGGTTATTATATGAACATAAAAGTCCAACGAGTTTTCCTGATGTTGGTATGATTTCTACTTTGCATATGGCTGTGCCTTGCACTTCTCCATCTACACAAGTCCTCGTTGCACATAGAAAATATATATCTATACTTTGCACACAAAGTAAGTCTATAGGAGCCAGGAAAACAGCCAAAATTTTACCTAATTTGTAATTTACTAAGGATTTAAATACATGCCATTATATTTATTGTTTATATTATAATTTGCTTTTTATTATGGGTAAAAACAAAATTTATCATATTATCCATTTTTAAAGTATTGAACAATTGAAAATGTGTTTATTTTGCACCAAATGTGAAATAAAATGCTGGTCTACAGAAATTTACTTAAATATATATAAATTTCGTTTTATTTTGAGCCTAGGCTAGGCAACTTCGCAACTTAGTGAGACCCTGTTTCAAAAAATGAAATGAGCCAGGGATAGGTACTTCAGGGTGAAGCCACTAGGTTCAGTCCCCAGCATTACAGAGAAAGACAGAGACACAGAGAGAGAAAAGAGAGGGATGAAGGAAGAAAGAAAAGGAAAAGAATGGAGAGAAAGGGAGAGGGAGAAGAGGAAGGAAGGAAGTAGGAAAAAAAAATGCAAAAGAGAAAGGAAATAAAGATATGAAAGAGGAAAGGCACTTACCTCTTGTTCCATATTTGAAGCCATCCTGATCATCTTATATTTGATCTCTGTTAACATCCATAGCATCTATATGCATTGCTGGTTTATGGCATCTTTTGCCTATCCTGGTGCTTGCCCAGTGGCCTGCCTCCAAGCCTGCTGCACTGATAACTACTAATGGCAGCTGAGCTGTTAGCAGCAGACACAGATGCAGAGCTCTCAGTATGGTCCTGTAGTCCTTCCCTACGAGGAGACCAGAATAGCCAACAACTTCATAGCAGATGCAGTAACTGGAGATGTGATATCATTACTTCAGGCTTTAGGTACTCGAGGGGCCATTAACTTTACATAAATATTTTTTGTATTATATATTCCTTTTTTTACCCTTTAGTGGCATTTAGCTGTAACAAAGATGACTACGGTTCATAAAGCCTGAAATATTTACCACCTGTC